AGGAGAAGGATTTAGAACTTATCTAGCTGGCAAGAATGAGTTGCAGACTCAGAGAATGTGCATGTTAACACCACAAGGAAAGATCACAGAATACAGCGTTCGAACTAGTCTGTATGTGTACTCGTTAAGATTAAAAAAACACTACAAACTTAAGCGTCATCTTATCATTAAAACTTTCAATATTTGTCAGATATCCCAATGAAATCAACAATGATTTAAGAAAGCGGTCTTTTTCACAATAGGAATATAAAAGTACCAAATGTTAATAATTTGGATAGGTACTTTCTTTTTTTGTCACACAAAATGAATATGAGCTGGTATAGTTTGCTAGTGTAGTGTGCGTTTGTAGCACAGCGGTTAGGACGCTCGCCGACTATGCAAATGGTCCGGGGTTCGATCCCCGGCCGACGCACTCCCAATATCAGTGGTCAACCTGCAAAATTCGGGCTACCGATATCACATGCTGAAAATTTCATACTTGTATCAAAAATACTGTGTGGAGTCAAGCTATAATAAAATAAAAATAGTTGTCAGGATGACATTTAAAGTCGCTCATTATATCATTGTAAAAAGTTAAATTAAAGATAGGTAATATTCACTGAATTATTTCTTCTCACTATTGTCAAAGTCTTTTAAAATGTCTCTGCGAAAAGCACTATGGTTGTGTTCATAGTCATAGTAGTGAAGAGATCAGATAAACAGTGAATCATCAAAGGTACATTCTCTGAAATGTTATCATAATGACTTTCAAGAAGAGAAATGCTTAAATTAAATACATGAGAAAATATTATTTTCGTTCGATTCCTAATCGAGAATGTCCAACAAAGATGAGCATTTTGGTGTAATCATCTGTTACTGAATACAAGATTTCAATAAATAAAATATGTAATCTGATGTAATCCAAGCAGTCAATGTATTACAAATAAACTAAAGTATATGCCAATTGTATGACTTGCCTATGCTTCAGATCTGTATTTTAATGAATAACGATTTAATCTATGAAAAATGACTTTATCGAAGTCGGCAAAACCTTCAGTTCTCTTGAATTATTTCAATAAAATAACAATTTAATCCGGATGAGAAGTATTCGAATTAGACTACTTTTTGTTTTTGAAAGTGCTTCAAAATGAATGTCTAATCACGCTTCATCGGAAATTAGTATCCTTTCACGACTACAATATGATTATATACTTCTGTTTGATTGGAGAGATAAAGCAATTTTCAGATGTCCAGTTTTCCTCTGATACTCCGATAAATGACTATTTAATTACATTGTATATTTAAAGTAGTGGGCTGTAGTGTAATTGATAGCACATTGGAATTCTGTCCCAGAAGCTGTAATTTCGAGTCCCGTAGTAGATGTGTAACGACAGAAAACAAGGGTCATGCAACAGATCGTTTATTGAGAAAATCAACAGATATTTAAAGATTTCTTCGTACATTATTATTCGTTATTATTAGCGGGGAGACAGCGTCTTCTGATTGGTTGTTTTCTTGCTGAAAGTTATTCTGTTATCTTCTTTGAAGGTCAGACCATATATCTGCGAATTGTATCCGCCCACGCTAAGTCTGATGTGATTGGTCGTTGAGTTCCTCAAAGTTAGGCTTTGTTATTGTTTTATCTCGTGACCCCGATTAGGGACGTAAACATTGACGTAAATTGGTGTCTACAATTTTGGCTAGCAGACAGCTCTCACCACAGATGTGATGTTTGTTTGCTTGAAGAAATCCACATTGTTTTTTATTATTATACCCTGACACAGAATTTATGAATGGTGATATTTTGATTTACAATACTCATATAAAAATTGTCTGTTCATAGACATTGGCTAACACTCAGAGTTTACGTCAGAAACTATTCAAAACAAAAACAGAATTATCATTTTATTCGGTTTCCTGATAGATGTTGGTGATGGCAACTATCAATCAGTCATTCCATATTAGTTTGTTTATTAATTGCTCAATTTCAGATCTGATATGTTGCAACTTTTAAACGATTCTGTGGATTTCTTCTTTTAGGCATAATTTTTGTAGGTTTTCTATTCTGCTTCTAACTCTGTCCGTTGGAAATGGTGCTCGTAGACGTAAATATTTAGGAATGATTTCATTTTTTTGGCATCGAATGTTGAAAATACGATGATTTTCATATCTTGCTTCAGTCTGTGAAAGTCGAGTGAGTTTATTGATAAGCCTTCGTACAGGAAGACCATATTAATATATTAATAGATGTGTAAAACTTGGGCACTGTGGTAGTAAGTAATTCCATATTAGTTTGTTTATTGTGAAAGTCGAGTGAGTTTATTGATAATAAACTAACTAACTAACTAATAATAAACAAACTAATATGGAATTACTTACTACCACAGTGCCCAAGTTTTACACATATATCAATCAGTCAATTTCACTTAAGTAAGCAACTAGTCTGAAGTGGATACTTTGCTCACCTTCATAAGGAGTATAGAGCAATAGGGTTATGCACAACTAACCGTTAACAATTCAGTGATTTATGTTTCAGTACATAATGTACATTTACATTTGATTAGATTATTCTTCTAAGTCGTTATGTTCTCTTAACTAAGTGACTCAATTTCGAAGTTCTCAGTCCTTCACAATGGAGTAAGCGCTGAAGATATTGTCTAGAAGGAAAGCTTAAACTTACTAGTAGAGTCGTCTACTTCAGATAAAACTACATAAAAATTGTCCAACTGAGATACAGGTGACTTTTTTAAAATGGTCGCTTCACATTAACCTGAGATTGTTTTACAGCTAGTTTACAAAACAATTCTTTAGAATACCTAGCCAGTAAAGTGACATCTTTATTATTTGTGGTAATAAATACAGCACTGCCTTTTGGTAGTTTCCACTGGATAGTATATTTCATAAAATAAATATAATTACATCTGTCACAGGTTTCACGAATGAAAATGAATATATTCACACAAAGTCCAAAACATACAGATTGACTGTTTTCTTTTAATTATTATTATAGGTTGATTTCACGCAGTATTTTGGTACAACTATGGAATTTTTACAGCATGCGATATCGGTAGCCCAAATTTGACAGGCCGACCATTGATATCAGGTGTGCGTCGGCCGGGGATCAAACTTCGGACCATGTGCATGCTCGGCGAGATTCCTAACCGCTGTGCCAGTGACGCAAAAGCCCGCCAGCTCCGGCGAGGCCGATACGAACCACCGCCACTGACCAAAAGATGCGTTTTGTCGACTTACACCATAAAGAGGATCTGTCGGCCGAAAGCCCGGAGACGAGAATAACAAACACTCTTGACAGATTCCCAGCAACAATCTGGATTAGTAATACCCTTTCACGCAATATCTAACAGTTTCAATAATTAATTGCTCTATCTTATCGACTATGTCATTTCATCACTTCATTTTCTACTGTAGAGAAAGGTTTGCAGTTTTTTGATACGATTTTCATCCAGAAGGTTCTAAATTTATATTGCCAGCAGTGACAAGGAACTAACCGCAAACCTGTAGTTAATGTGTTAATCGTATTTATCGTCACCAGTAACCATTCAGCCTTAAATGACTTCTGACCAATGCCAGTTGTGAAATAAAAGTGTCTCCCTAAGGCCATTTGTACCTATATTCCTCGCATAGTTGCGACAAAATCTGTAAATAGTGTGTACACAAAATAAAGTCGTCCAGTAAGTATTAAATTTTATATGCATGCTTCCCCTCCCCCCACTGACAATGTATACTGGTTCAAAATCACCAAATGTCGCAGATGTATTCAGTTCTTAAAGTAACAGGATAATTTTGGCAGTGGTAGAGTATAATTTCATAATGGATAAGTTTATTTGATACAAAGAACAAAAAAGTAGTTCACTGAAGAGGCTTCTTTCGGCTAATATTCATCTTTTTTAACGGCACAATCGCATTCATACACAATTTTTCCACAGAGCAGTAAGTTATGAGTTTTCGTAATCATAGTTGCTAATATTAATCAATGGGTGCATTATATTTATGTTATAAGATGAATAATGTAATAAGTTGTAATCAGGATGCATATGGAAACTAGGGAAATGGGGTATTACGCAGGGGTTCGAAATAAATAGAAGATATAACGCATATTGACAAGTGATTAATAACTACATGACGTTTTGAGCACAATTTGTTTGTCACTCATTGACTCGTCATCTCTGCACTTTACACAAAAATGCAGCTGAAGTTACCACACGACAGAAAAACATGTTTAAAAGGAGAGAAATGTGGCGAAACGACGATGGACGAAGATGTACGGGAAAGGGAATAATTAGGTATTAATACTGCATATCAGATAAACTTATCTAATATAGTATTCACTTCGAATATTGGAAAGCTTTCCTGATCTTCGCTTAATTATTCCATAATTTCCACTAATATTTATGTTATAGTACCCATCTGTTTCTATTACCTTACTTTTCGGGAAGTGTAGGCTTCCTGGTTGGCGTCCTCCGGATGGTGAAGACCAGTGGCTGGCGACAAACGGTGATATGGCTCGAAATCGTCCTCAGTAACACAGATACATTCACTCTTTGTGACTTATAATATTCAATAAAACTCTATCGTTTTCCTCATATTTCTGTTTATTAACTCTCTTTGGAATCTCTTTTTACTCTCTTCTCTCGCTTTGTGTGCTACATGGAGTGTGGCAACTCCAAATGCTGCACATCTGTGCAAAGTTCTACTGTGAAACCAGTCAGTCAATCACCTTACTTTCACACCTTTAGGAGGTATGACAACTTGAATTGATGCATTTCGAGACAAAGTTTTACGTCATCCATCCACTCTATATATCATGTTTTTGATCTCAAGCTTGTTTCTGTTTCACTTATTTTACATGAACATTCTTTCATTTTCCTCACTCCGTATATTGTTTATTTATCGCCTAAGAGCTCGATTTCCAGCCGGTTTACTTTATTCTGGAAAATATTTTTAGAACTCATATGACTCAAAAAACTACAACACTAATCCCCCTCTAGTAAAATACAATGACCGAACACACTGCAAATGGATTGGTGTACCAAAAAATCTATTGATTTACACATTGATAATAAAGCAGAACACAAAACTTGGGCTAACCCTAAGTCGTATTTTATTTGGTGAATATATAGCTACAGTTAAATAAGAAAATCACAACGGTTTAAGGATATATACGCTTTATACTTTCTTGTTTTCCTTTATCCCATTGAGTCAAGTGAGCATAAAAATCTTCTTTGTATGGATCACACCACAAGCCCCGAGGATTATGGAATACTGGATAATCAAACCAATGTCCAACCTTCCAATTTGCTACATCCTTCATCAATTCTTTTTCATAATCACGGTTTCTCCGAAGTTGCTTCATGTATAAGCGTTGTTGTTCGGCCAAAATGAAAGGGGTGAGAGCAATCCGATTCTCTTGATCCTCTCGCTCGACAACGGCGGCTTTTTCTTTGCGGTAGTGGTAAATTTGTATGCCCACAAATGTTGTAGCGTAGAGACAACCAAGTGTTACAAGACCTTCACATAAAACAACCAACAGAGTGTAGTGAAAATGATTTACAGATTATAGAAAAACTAATGACTGAAGATCACAATAACGTTTGATCTGACAATTATTGATATTTTCGTTGATATTCACTAACATTTCACTAGGACACGCATTCACTACTATGAAGATGTACAGCACTTAGTATAAAGAATATGATTTGAATTTTCAATATTAATATCAAGTCACTGCTTCTGTATGGTTCAGAAATTTGACGCGCACGTCACCCAAAGCATTTCTAGAAGCCTGTGTGCTTTCATCGTCTGCCTATGCTCCCTACTGAAGATCGAATGGCCAAGCAACAAGGAATATTGGCAGCGAACCCACTGCCAAACAAATTTGCAGAAATAAATGGAGATGGATTAGACATATACTGCAGGGAGCATGACTGATGTCATACGCTAGACCTTAGATTGGAATCCGAATGGGGGAGGACCAATTGTGCATTCGACAGTGAAATGGAATGCTTGTGGATAGTTGTAGAGTCAGGTGAAAATCACGCAGAACACGAGGAATAAATATTTTATTGACATTTAATGCTCATTATAATTGATATACGAAGGAATGCATCGTACCAAAAGAAAACACGATACAGTAATATGCAGTGACGATACTGTCCAGTGCATGTAGTTCAACTCCTCTAATCATCCCAACAGTCACCATCATTTTCCAAGTAACCCTCTTTATAAGACTTCATGGCACACATTACATTCTCAAAATAGAATTTTGCCGTAGGCAGGTAGGAGTATCACACCAAGATACCCTCGTAACAAAGAGGGACAGTTTGAGAAGTTAGTTAATGCCACCCAAAATTCCGTCTGAAATACATACCACGTTCCACTTTCCCCTTTCCTATTTAAAGTATACAAGTATCGAATATGCTCTCGCACTCGTCTGTGGAATATTTCAGTGGCTTTTTATACAACATTTTTTTATCTGTTTAAAAGGGAAATTAATATGCACGCGCATATAATGTCATTATCTTGAAAGCTTAATATTCCAAGCTGTCTGATACAGACTGCATTGCATTTTGATCTTATTTTGACAAACTATGAAATGTAGGTAGAATTTAGAGTCAGATTAAAAATAGGAACTCTTGACCTCAGTATTAAGTATGGGTGGTGAAGATAAATACGACACCTAACGAAACTAAGAGTGAATACATTTTAAAATCAGATGCTCAAACGTCGGAACCAGTTATGAGAAGAGATAATAATGACTTTAAAACCGTGGCCTGTCCATTAAAACTAAGACATGGAGGCGAATGCGTAATATCATTATTCTGATTTATATGAAATACAAAAATCTTGCCTATAAATAAGCCTTAAATCAATAAACATGAAACTGTACAAAAGATGAGCAACTACTCACTCGAATACACTACTCAGATATGGGTAAAACTAGATATTGAATAAATTACCTAAAGTTATTTTATTTATTGTGGTTCGTAAATTGTCTCCCAGAATTTCACCCACTTTTGAGACGGTGCCTCAAGTCTTAATAAGAAGGAAACTGCATTAATGAGAAATACCTCTTACAATACGACACGATGCTAACTCCATGTTGAAAAGTCCTTTCATATCGGACAGATTCTAATGATCTCGCACATGATAATTGGTTAAACGACTTTAAATAAGAGCGAAGTTAACCAGACAAGTCATGATATGAAACACTTAATCAAGCACCTCTCTTGCTACCTAACTAAGTATTCTCTATAGTGAGGAAATCCAACTTGAAAACGTCTGTACGGCACAAAACTGAAACATGCAATAGAATACAAACTTATTTGCATATATTTTTCTACTTTTTCACATGCCAGCGAGCCAAGCGCAAATTTAACAAGGCTAATACACGTCGAATTCGTTGCAGCCTACGTACTTCCAATAAACCAGAAGAATCTTAACGTTCAATGAAATACAATTTCATAGTGAGTTGATACGTCGACTTTCATACAGCTGGGGACGGAAATTGTCACACTGTTCGAAGGAGTATCAAATATGAGAAAAACGGACGTATCAAGATGGAATCTCCAATGATTTTTTCAGAATAACCAAAAACAAGACGCTAATTACTCATAACACAGATCAACAATGTATAAATATGTTAAGGTTGGTAAATCACTGCTTACCATTTAATGTTCCTCTTGGCATTTTTCTGGAGAAATCAAGCGGAGAGTATCCACCAGGTGGTGGCATTTCCTGCTTGTAGCTTGTCATGCTTACTGAAATTCAATCGTAGCAGACTGTATTTTGAAGTGATAGGTAAGGTCTTTGGATATTTGTTCGGCTAGAAAAGAAGCTACTGTTAGGAATCATGTTGGCAATAGTCACCTTGAACCCGACAAGCCGGACCTTGAGAACAGAATTCCCTCATGTCCAAAGTCCAATATCCTGATTACGAGCTAGTATAAACCAGTGATTTCTTTGAGCTCGCTTCTTGATTGTAAGGTAGAGGTTCCAGATCTTCGGTGAACTTATGCGCAGTAAGTCCCGACACTCGACTGCTTTAGCTCTGGTAGACTCCAAGAGGAGTGGTGCGGGGATTGGTCAAGAGGTGGTTTATAGTGTGCAGTATGTTAGGACTCAGTTGCTGCCGTGAATGGAGTTTGACCTAACACCCGTTGGTCATTCGGTGTAGTCATAAAAGTAGACTAATAATAATAGGTTGTAGTGTAGATAATATAGGTTGAGATAAGTGAAGTAATAAAGGTGAAATAATAAAGAAAGAAAGAAAAGATAGAGTAGTCGGTACAGTGGGAGAAGACAGAACGGGTCGTGGGGATTTAGCTTGTATGCTTATCCATTGACAGTGTGGTTTTGAATTTTAAGAGGATGAGCCATTGAGACACAAACCTTGCATTTCTGCATGATTGTCTAGCTTCCGCTTAAAAGTCTCCACAGATGGAGCTGTAGTCACGGCCGCCAGTAAAGCGTTCCAGAGACGGCAAACTCGAAGCGAAAAGAAATGTGAACGCACTCGAATCTTTGGTCTCTGGTGTACCCCGTGGAAGCCTATAATCACTTAATGGCAGGATGCACTTATTAGGGTGGGCCTGGTCATTTATCGCGGTATCGCGGTACGTCCAACGTTTGCGTTACATTTTTGCGTGATTCGTTACATAAAATTTATCTTGTTGTAATCCTTGCACAAGTCCTCTACTACTTCCATACCTATAACTATTAACTCTCATATCAAATAGTTATGGTTAACCAAAGTAAAAATCAACGAACTCAATCCCCTGTAAATCTGATGACTAATTTTAAGTCGTTGATTGCTACATCAAGCAACACACTTCCTACAAATGGTTATAGTGAGCCACAAAACTCACTTGTATGTCGTAAGCGTCGAGCTGAAACTGAGGATAAAACTGTACTGACAGCTAGTATTAGCACTACTCCCAAAAATTCAGTACCCTCTGCTCATACAGAAACCCTCCCTTCACCTTATGTGCTTATCGAAAAGCTCCAGCCTTCAAGCTCTGTTTCAGTAATATCTTCAGAAATAGAACTTCTAAAGTTGTCTATGGGAGAACTTAAGGCAGAGTTAAGGGAAATAAAAAACAATAAGTCAGTAAATCCTGGAATTTCTGAAACCAATACCAAAATATCCAAATTATCAGATCAGATTATTGATATCAGATCGCAGGTCTGTGAACTGACACCTTTAACTATCCTCATGAGAACTGTAGACCTTAACGAACTTGACACGGAATCGGTATCTAAGGTGGATAACCTCATTAACTTTGTTACTACAGAAGTAGCAAAACGACTCGACGCTAAACTAAATGCTATTGTCTACAACGTTCCGGACAATGAGGCACTAAAAAGGGTACAGCGCATCTTACCTAGTGAGGCGAAAATTCCCAACTCCAAGACTAAGTGCTACAGGCTGAAGAAGATTCAACATGAAAAGTGTTGTCCTATTCGTTTTCAGTTCGAAACACCTGCTGAGGCCAGAAAATTTATCCACTCCCAACACACCCCACTGCAAGCCAGAAATTATAAACTAGTAAAGGTTGCGGTGGACAAGACCGTCATAGAAAGGCGCGTATATAATTATCACACTGAGTCTAACTGTGGAATAAACAATAGGACATTGCAAGCAGCAATTATACCCAACCCTTTGAGAGATACCGTAGAATCCACCGCACCACCCCTCTCTAACCACACAGAATTATCTTCTCAGAGAGCGACACCAACCAAAAGGCCGCTAAATTGTAATCAAATAGCCAATCAAACTATACCACCTACCACCGTAGATTTAGACATGTCACTAAATAATCCAAGAAAAAAAGTCAAAATCCCCCGAAAGTTGACCCTTTCCTCTCCTAGCCATAAGTCCATTGGTAAAAAAGAGAAGAATATGACCCCAAATCATGCCAACAACAACAATGGCAGCATAAGTAAGCCCACATTCCCCACGGTCAATAGTATTGGCACCCACAACGTGCGAAATAGCCCCACGGCCCACACTGATAACCAACGCCAAATCAATGCCACCCTCAATAGTACAAGTGACAATAGTCAGAACTCGACCACCAACAACTCAGGGCATTCACAGTATGGCACGCTAATAAATTTTGATCGGATATACGGTACAAGTCTGCTGGGAACTAACCCACAAAGCAGTACATTCGAAACCCTTACAAGGACACCACTAGTGCCTAACAATAGGTGGAATAATAGACCATGGTCTTCACAAGGTCCCAATCATTTTTTATCCCCTGCGTCCCTGTCAGCGTTGAAAAAACAGCTGGTAGGGATGCTAACACTCCTAAACCACTAGTGCTGGCTCCCCCTTTGCATGAATGTAGGAACAGTCTAGCTCACCCGCATCCACTAAGCACACTTGGTACATGCACAAGTTTAGGTCAAATTAAGATCCCTACCCCCGTTTCTAGCTTTACTAAAAATAAAAATGCCTTAGCCTATAGCACATCCAGTACTCCAACGCTCAATTCTTCACCGAAAACAGCACACACCAACTCGATAGACATAGGTGAACATGATGCTGAAACTCCTCTCAACATAGGGTCGTCATGTCAAACAGTACTACTGGGTGCTGAACCACATTCGGGGCTGGTTGACGAACTTAAGTACTTCAAATGCTATTTCAAATCTCATCTTTACCTAATCCTCATAAATGCTAGATCCGTTCTAAATAAACTACCGATGCTCAGAGCACTCACAGTAATATACAAACCCCCTATAATTGTCATCACTGAATCCTGGTGTAACTCGAACATACTGGATGAAGAGATAAGCTTAGATAACTATACACACTTTCGGTGTGACAGGGAAGGTGGTAAGGGAGGGGGTTGTCTTATGTACTTTCTGAATGCACTTACTGTATCACAGCTAGAAAGTAGTACACTTAACATGCCTGAGACTTTATGGGTTAACTTACACTTAAATAACGCAATAGTATTAATTGGATGCACCTACAGAGCACCTGGCACCTTTAGTAATTACGAGACCCAACTTATTAATACTCTAGAACAATTATCCACCCTCCACTACGATCATAAGATCCTATGTGGAGACTTTAACTTACCAGAAATCAACTGGGAAATACCCACAGGTCCAACTAAACTTGATAAGTTCTTAGGCACACTGGATATACTTGGCTGGAAGCAGACCGTCACAACCCCTACAAGAGGTAATAACGTACTAGACTTAATCTTCTGCCACAATATAAGTCCCCTTTCTACCCTAGTAGGTTCTGAGTTTTCAGGGAGTGACCACAAAACAGTGCTGTGTGCACTGCCACTTCCGTCAAGTAGCAATGCAACCCATACCCCTACTTCACAACAAATAACTTACAGGAACTACAGTAAGGCAGACTGGACTCTATTAAAATCAATGCTAAGATCCTCAGAATGGAGTGAGTACTTCTATACTGATAGCCTCTCGAAAGCTCTAGACATCTTTTACTATAACTCCAACACATGCTTAGATGCTGTCATCCCATTTCAAACACTAAAGTTTTCCCCACATAGAAAGACATTCATAAAGCCAAAGGATCGTAGGAAACTGAAAAGACTGTCAACAAGTTACTTCAGGCGACACGACTTTAGTACACTAGGGTCAATACTTAGTACTCTTAGCTCCATCTCGCAAGCTCATAACTTGCGTATGAGAAATGAAGAATGCACGGCACTAGCCAGCACCACCAGAGTAGGTGCTCTCACAGAAATACTAAAGAAACGAATGAATCGCCAAAGCCATAAAATTTCTCTCCTTATAAACAAGGGCAAACTATACAGCAAACATGCAGACATGTGTGAACTGTTTAATGAGACGTTTGCAGCTAACTACCTTAAGCCTACAAGTCCACTTCTCGGTTTACAATCTAAAATAGAACTCCCTTCATCTTCAACGCTGAAACAAATCACTACAGTTCATTTCACTTACTCTAATATTAACCAAGCCGTTAATACTCTTAAAAACTCTAGTAGTGCCGGTTTTGACGGTATACCATCGTATCTTTTTAAACACGGTGGTCCTGACATTTCCGTTTTATTACTTAAGATTTTTACAATGTCCCTAGAAAGCCAAACCTATCCAGATAAATGGAAAACGACATTTATAGTACCTAAACACAAATCCGGATCAAAAACTGAAGTCAACAACTATAGGCCAATCAATATTACACCCATAGTATCTAGAATCATTGAACGAATAGTTAAAGATGATATCCTCAAACATATGCTCAGCTGCAATATTCTAAGTCCCAACCAACATGGATTCCTAAAATCCAGATCATGCATGACATGTCACGTTGACTTCTTTAACTACATAACTAGCAGCCGCGACAAACAACAACTAGTACTTGTCATCTACTTCGACATATCCAAAGCCTTTGACCGCGTTGACCACTTGCTTCTAATAAATAAGCTAAACTCCTTAGGAATAAGTAACTCATTATTAGGATGGATTGAATCATTCCTTAACAATAGGTCCCAAGTAGTTAGACTGGGTTGTGTAAACTCTAAACCTAGTCCAGTCACTTCTGGAGTAGTTCAAGGTAGCGTCTTAGGCCCCCTCCTATTCACTCTATATGTCAACGACATATGCAGCTGTTTCTCACTTGGCAAACCATTCATCTTTGCAGATGATCTTAAAGTAGCTTACACATTCCACTGTGATGACTTAGGGTACTTTCAGAAAGCTGTTCAGGAAGAACTAGATCGAGTAACTGCATGGTCCTCCACATGGAACCTAAAATTCAACCTTAAAAAATGTGGTTGGATCTGTTTCGGTGCACCCTCAATAAGCATTAAACTGGTACTTGAATCTCTTGACTTGCCTAAACTCCAAAGTGTTGTTGACCTAGGACTCAGGTACTCTAGT